TCGCTAAAGTTTCGTCGGAACGAAGTTACGGAAAATCAATTAACAAACGGAGACGTAACACATTATTAACAAAGAGTTTAATAATTTATTCACTTTTGTCCGGTCTCATTGTTTTACACTTAAAGAAACCCAACCAAGTTATTAAAAACAGGATACTAACCTTATGTTTTTATCAAATCTGCTGTTATTAGCGAGATTGTCTATCTGATACTTGTGGGCCTGGCATGGGGGCGTTATAAGGTGACAGTCAATCCCACTATTCGTTGGTAAAAGAGTAGCCCAAGAGTTGGCAGTGGATGGTGATGACTAGCTACCTTCCCTCAAGTCTTTCACTGCTAAATTAGAGACGGATAGCGTAGATAGCCCTCGTGTAGCTTTGCGCGAAATTTAAACAAACAAACTAATACTTGTTGGGACATCGGTTTTATCTGAAAATACCACACCTGACAACTTTTTCTTTTCTCAACAAAATTCATATAACGATTTAATCTTTGATTTGGGGACGCATATCTTCATAAACGAGATGGGTTATTTGACCTTCTTTATTTTGACTTATTTTTATTATTGAAAGTCAAAAATATGAAACACTATAGCCGTTTCTTCATCAAGCTCCGTCACATCAAACATGCCCGCCCTTTCAGCCGTAGGCGTTATAATGTGACGGTCAATCCCACTATTCGTTGGTAAAAGAGTAGCCAAAGAGTTGGCGGTGGGTGGTGATGACTAGCTGCCTTCCCTCTAGTCTTACACTACTAATTTAGGGACGGCTAGCGCAGGTAGCCCTCGTGTAGCTTTGCGCGAAATTCAAAACAAACAAACAATTCTTCATCAAGGGCTATTATTATTGTTATTATTTTGATTTTTCCAAAGCCAACGAGTTCACTAGAGGACAGTTCTCCTTAGTAACGGTTTGACGTTACTGACAACAGTATCTATAAATTAACATGTTTGAAAATTTAACTTGCTTTCGTATTATGAAAGGTTAAGTTTAAATACTTTACGGATTTACCGTTTTAATTAATTATAAGTGGTTTAATTTTTTCTTCATATTATTAGGCAGTCAGCGATTAACATATTCCAGTTGTTGAAAAGCCACGTAGAACTAGAAGTGCACAATGGTTAGTGACAAGATAATTTGGCCTAGGCCTATGCTAAGAGTTCAACACAGCATGGACTCCGGACTAGAAGCACCTGTAGATATTTAACTTAGCCGCATAGTTCAGTAACAGTACTAGTAGGGATGCTGATATTACCTTGCATTCCAGTAACGTTACAGACTAATATTAGATAATAACACTAACATTTGTACTGTTAATAGTGTTATGAAAGTATGAAATCAAAATATGTGAACAAAAGCTATCAGTTTTGAGTCTGATAGCAGGTTTCATTCTTTCTCTTAACAATACTTTCCGGTACTTGGATTGAAAGAACTTTTAATGTGTTAGTTTGTTAGGTTTAACTTTTTATTTATTTTAATATTCATAGAAAATAAAATTGCTTAACAAGCAGGAAAATTAACTACTCAAACAAAGGCATTTGTCTATGGAATTTTCACAATTTACTCACAAAAATTTGATAAAAGCAGAGTTATTGCCCGAATTTTGAGCTCTGTACCATTATTACTCTTCTAGTTTCAAAAGCATAACAAACTATGATGAGAAAAAAATGAAAGTTTGACTTCAGTTAATTATGTTGGTTTTAGTGACACATATGTGATGTTTACTGTATTTTTTTTATCTTTTAAAACTTGAGGTAGGCTGGAACTTTTTCAAATAATGAAAAATATTATTGAGAGAGTGTATGCTTTTTTTGAAATCTTAATATCTTATACTATTGTTAGTATTCTATAGAAGTAGTTTATTATAATAATATTATCTGTAATTGTAGATGTCTTGTTTAATTAATGTTAGACTAAAGTAACTGAGGAGAGATAAGGTCCTCTACAGCATGCGAGTCTTACAGCAAGACTAAATGTTATTTTATGCTCAAAAGTTAATAAAAAATTTAATTAACTTTGCTACAGTTTTATGCAGATAGAATAAAGGATTTACTATGAAGCTTTGTATTTATTAATTTTTACAGAAATTATTTTGTGTGATAATATCATTGATCAGTATCAAGTGAAATTACAATTTTTACTTTTGTTTGTTCCCTGTGGTTATATGTGCATGCCAAATATGTTGGGTGTATAGTCAGCAAGTAACCAATAATGAATATAATTTCAGTTATAAGCAAACTTAGAACTTTTGACATATATAAAAATTAACTTATTTCACTTCAGAGAAGAAGAATTTTAATCCATATTCTGAAATTTTTGAATAATTCCAAAATTGAAAGATATTTAACAAGTCTGTTTTAAATATTGATTATATAACAAAATATACTCAAACACATCAGTGATACCTTTCAAAATGTTTAGTTATATAAGACAGTGTAGCTTCTAGTTTTTTGAAATTCTCTGGAAACTAGAGAATTTCTGATGACTGAAAGATTTTGAAGTAATGACTCTTAGAATGGTATTAAAAATGGGTTTTCTTGCCTTGACAACCTTAGAATTCCAGAGAGGCTACCATTTTCTGACAAGGTCATCCTAGGTGGTGTTGTGTATTGTAAAAGTCAAGATATGCTTGGGGCTTGAGCTCCAGCATCTCATTTCAAAAATATATTTGGCTCAGAGTTAGATGCCCTCCCGATATGGATGCCCGGGGCCCTCGGCACCTTTTGCCCACCTCTCTGCATGCTACTTGTCAGGGCAGATTTCTTAACATTTTAATTCATTACAGCATTTTCACTTTTATAAAGCATTTATTTGGTTCCTAACAAAAGATTTAATAGTAAGTTAGATGCATATGGAACAGATGGAGAAGGTAAGAAGTGGATAAAAATTTGGTTTGGTGGAAGAATGCAATGAATGATGATAACTGATATAATGGGAATATCAACTGTAGATTAAAATGTTTTGCTAGAGTTTTAGAATAGGAATACCACCTGAAAATTAAGGTATTTTATTAAAATGGCACATTTAAATTGGTTTTTGTTTTGGTTGTGATGGATGATTTGTATGAACTAAATGGCTTTCTATAAGCTAGTTCTATACATTCTTAAACAAACAGGATAACATATGGAAAATTCTGAACCTTTGAACGTTTTGTACTGAGAGTGTTATAATGGGGGAAAAGCATATTATAAATCATATAGCAAAATTTTATTGTGGTTGAAAGTGAAATACATTTATATTGCTTCATGTTTAGGGATGTAGAGAAGAAAGTCTTAAATACATGTGCTATTAAAGTAGAGGACATTGTTTTTTCTTAAACTTAGATTAAATAAGAACCTGGTACTAACTTTAAGAGATATTATTTTGAACTTTTGAATAATATAAAAATATCTCAAGTCAGGTGATCACAAGTATGGTACCCCTCTATTATCAAATAATTGAGGGAACAATCTGGAATTTATAAGTCTTTCATATTAACTACTGTTGTAGTTAGGTTATAAGCCTGTCATATTGACTGCTGTTCTAGTTAGGTTATAAGTCTTTTTTTTTTTCTTTTTTTCTAAGGTATGAAATAAAAACTTAGTTTGTAAGTAAGCATCATATAGAAATTGTGAAAGGATTCAAAGTGGACCTATTATGGAAAGCAGAGGGTAGCAGTTAATAGAGAGCTCCTCTTTTGGTGAATATAACTAATTAAATTTCTTAGTAGGCTGCTTTGGTAACCCACTTGTTCATTATTATTGGTATAAATTATATTAATCTCAGCATATGTTATAAGCTAACTATATTTTCTAGAGCAACTAAGTTGCTATGAGAAGCTGGATGTGAGAGAAGTATCATTGTGATTTAGAATATTTGAGAACATATACAGAAGTTAAGATTGAGATAGAATATTTGAATTACATGAATAGCAATTAAAGAAGTTTAGTTATTAAAAATAGTATAAAAAATGAGGAAGAACATCCAAAAACATGACTATAAATTGAGAGGTGTTGTCAGAATATAAGTAATTGAGAAAAATGTTGGAAGAACACAACTAGAAGATTAAAAAACTTGACCATTAGTGTAAAGTACAACTTTAATAAAAAGGAATACAATTATGCACAATTATCTAAAATAGAATACCTGGAGCTGATTACCCATCTATATAAGGAATGCACAACAAGCTTGATGATTCATTATTCTCTTAAAATCATTGATATCTTTATTAGTTTATAAGGAACTACTTGAACACGAAACTAACAGTAATTTAAGAAGCCAGGTAAAAACCCTTATAATCAGAAATGAGTAATTTTAAAAACATTCTTTGATAGATATGTTGAGGCAAAGTATTCATGATGAAACTTAGTTGAATGGATGTTAATTGCCTGTTGTAAAAACAGAAGTATAGAGGACAACGTTTCGAAAGTCTTCTGCCTTTCATTTTCAGGTCAGTGTGTCCCAATCCAATAACTTGGCAATAATTTTGATTTACAATCTTTCAGGCTTCTTCAAGGCGTGAAAGATAATCAGGGGTGCTCAGAAACTTTGTTTCTCTTTGTCCCGCTTGCAGAATTAAGGATTATTCTTTACGAGAATTGGTAAATTTTCTGCTAGTGGCTGAAACTTTATGAAACTTAATTAGGTTTAACTGGCAGAGTGTGACTGTTGACAGTACATAGTTAAAGGATAAACAGGCATGGTGTGTTAAGTGCAGTGCACGTGACTAATTAAGAGCCTCAAGACATCTAGGAAAGCTGTGAGTAATGCAAGTTGAAGGCAGGAAGTAGTACAGCAGGAAGGAGAGTTTGTGGAAAATGATCTTAAATTCTGGTAATTCTTGAAGTTGGAAGAGGATCAAGGCTGTGACAAAGGTAGCAAGTTCCTGAAAACTGGATTATAAAGTTGTAAGGTTAAAATTTACATGAAAACAGGATGAATATCCAGGATATTGTTAAAACTGAACAGTGTTTACTGTTATGCGGAACAGCACCTTTTCAGGGTTGGGATCATAGGATCCTACATTGTTGGAAAATTTTGTTTTGGGGAAATGGGAGTACTCCAAGAAAACCCACTTTCATGGCTGGGGCGCCGAAAACAATGCCCTGCACATGCATGGTGGAAGCTGTAAAGAAACAAAACACATTAGTTATAATATAGCATCTTGATCAGACTTGGCTGGTGGGAAGCCAATGGAAAGGCTGGAAAAGTCTGGTGGTAGTCTTCTTTGAAGACTGGTTCTTCAATGTCAGAGAGAAAATGTTGAGAATACAGAAACCGGTACTGGATGTTTTTGTCAAACTCTGTTTCAGTCCTGTATTCATAGGGTGAATGAGACTGTCTGGGTGATGAGCAAAGGAATCTGCAAAAGTTGGCAGCAAGCTATTCGTCTATCTAGGTTCTCCTGGCTTTCTTGGAGATGCGTGTCTTAATTTCATGGGTCTTTGTTTGGAAGAAGTCAATAGATGTCGAAGAGTGATTTAGTAATACTTAAGTCTGTGTGGATTGAGTGTTCATTGTATCTTTCTTTGCAGGTGGGGTCTGGGTGAATTTGTTTATTGGTTCAGGTTGCTTCTCGACTTGTGCTTCATGGTAGGAGTGAATTGAGTGGTGGCAGTTATTGTTGAGGTCGTCTTCGATGGTTTGCTGGTATGTAGTGGATGCTGTGGAGGTTTGGGTGGAAAAACAGATGAAAGTTGAGGGAATTATCTTGGTCTTTCAGCTCTAAAATGAAAAAAGTAAAAGAAACTATTGGTTAGTAAGTGTTCTGCGATGAATTTTGAAGTAGTAACAATATTGACATACTGGGTTGGTTAGCCCGTGGTTCTTGAGCCAATTTGATGTCTGTATTTTCTCAGGTGAGATGGACTGGTCGATGCCCTAAGAAAGATAGAAAAAAGTTGTGTGTTAGCTCTTGGAGGGTTAGAATTCCATGGGGAACAGAGATATATGTAGTCTTAAGAAGTAAGGGGTTAATTAAAAATTCCACCCCTACATAGAAGTCTTGTCTTGGTCTGGTCAATGGCTGCATTTGACTTGTATTTTCTCATTAAATTGGTTGGGGGAGAAGTCTTTAGGGAACCCGTCAATGATAATGGGTAAAATCGGTGAAACAGCATGAGAGGGTTGTCTTCCTGTGGGAAGACTAACTAGTTGATTGTGGAGCAAGGAAGAATATGTCTTTATGGCTCTGAGTGTAAGCAAGGAATCACTGATGATGTGACCCCCAGGTCAATGTGCAATACAATATAAATTTGTGGCAGGAATTTAGGTTTAAAAATCTTTCAGGTCTCAAAATTAATTTCTGGGGCCTGAAAGGCAACCCGAGGTGGTCAGAAACGTTTGTATCTCTTCACACCGCACATTGAGAGATTAGATGCCAAACGTCAGTTGAATAGAGCAGTCGTCATCACGGAAGGAGCAGGGAGATGTAGA